CCCGCTCCCCGCCCCGGCCCCGCCGCCGCGGGCCGCCGCTCTCCCGTCGCTCCCCACTCCCCCCTCACGGCGAAGATCCGCACTCACTGCCCGTCCCCGCCGCCATCTTCCCCGCCCGACCCGAGACGGGCAGGGCGGAGCGGCGCGCAAAGCCCGCCGGGAGCCAGCCGCGCACGGCCACCGCCCCGGGCGCCGGCCCCGCCCTCCCGCGGCCGCACGGCGGGCGCTGATTGGCGGCCGCGCAGGCGCGGGCTCCCATTGGCGGAGCGGGCAGCGCGGCGAGGTTTGAAACCGCTCGCAGGCCGCGCCGCGCGGAGCCGAGGCGAGAGGGGCGCGGGGCAGGTGCGGGGCTGCGGGGAGGGGGCGGCCTCGTGGGGCCCTGGGTGGCCGTGCAGGGGGCCCTGCCGCGTGGGTGGCTGGTGGGGGTGCCTGTGTACGGGGGGTGTTTGGAGGAGCAGGTCGTGCGTGGGGGGGCTGCGTGTGTGTTGGAGGAGGGTGTGCAGGGCTGTGTGTGGGGGGGTCTCACGTGGGGGCTCTGGGTGTGTGGAGGTCCCCGCACTGGTTGCTGTGTGTGCTCCACTGAAGCCTTGCAGGGCGGTTTGCGTGTGCAGGGGGYGTGGGCTGGGGGGTTGTGTGATGGGGTGTGCGTGGAGGCTGTTTGCAGGGAGAGAAGCCTCCTGAAGGCTCCCGGGGGCGGCTGCAGCGTTGCCCCCTCTTCACGGTGTCCTTCTTCCTCCAGGAGTGCTGAGAGACGCCATGGCCCAGGTGCTCCTCTCCCCAGGGCTGTTCTCTGATGAAGAACCTGCAGCCTCCCCTGTTCTCGAATCCACTGCGACGGGCTTTGGGGCTGATGTGCGCAAGGACCTGCTGTCCGAGTTCTCTGCCATCTCCCCGGACCTCGGGGGCTCCCAGCAGGTGAGACTGGAGCTCTTTCCCCACACAATAGGATGGAGTCTTGGCTTGTGACTGCTGTGTTGCTCCAAAAAGGTGCTGTGATACAGGGCTGACTGGCACTTCGGAGTTGGGCAGAACAAAATCTTAAGAGAAGATCCTGTTCCCCCTACGCACCCTCCATTGAGGRTGTCCTCTATTGTGAGCGATGTGCTCTGAAGGCCACAAACAGAAGGGCCTCCTGGTGTGATGCTTGACTCGGGACTGGTGTTTGGGCTGTTGGTCTGATGCACTAGATGCTTAGGCATTTTGAGGCACCCCARTGTTTTCTGTGCAAGTCTTCTGGTGTTGCTGGAGCTCTAGAGATTACTGAGCACCAGGTCAGGGTAGTCCCATGTGATCTATGCTRTGGTTTCCATTAGGATTCTGAGTCTGATGTGCGATGGTTGTATGACTTCTCTGGCCAATGCATGTAACCTGTGCTGACTTTGCAGGCTGCAGCTGAAGATAGCAATGGGAAAGTAAAAGTGTATCTCAGAGTTCGGCCCCTGCAGTCTACAGAGCTGGAAAAGGGGGAAGATCAGGTAAGACACTGAACTAATCAGACCGAGAGCTCGTTGGAGGAGCAGTCCTTTGTGTTGTGGCCTCTTGCGAGCCATTGAGGTGACGGAATTTAACTGCTCTTTCAGGGCTGTGTCTGCATTGAGAACTCGGAAACTCTGCTTCTAAAAGCCCCCAAGGACTCTTTCACCATGAAGAACACTGAACGTGGGGTGGGACAAGCAGTGCACAGATTCACTTTCAGCCAGGTAGGTAGCCGGGGCAAACAATCCCCCTGCAATTTTTGTGAGCTTAAACTGCCATTAGAGATAGAAAAGCTGAGTTAATGATCAGTGATACCGGTGTGGGTTACAYTGTTCTCTTGTGCAACTCTTTCCTTTGGTGTGGGGGAAGTGGAGGGGACAATAGTTGTATGGTATCRCTTGAACAAGCAGCAGTCAGAAAAGATCTAGCTATTTTCCTTGCCTTGTTTGCAGATCTTTGGGCCAGATGTGGGGCAGAAGTTGTTCTTTGATGCTACAATGAAGCAGGTGGTAAAGGATGTACTAAATGGGCAGAATTGGCTGGTTTACACCTACGGCATCACCAATTCAGGGAAGACTCACACTATTCAGGGTAAGAAGAATACTAGATGTTAGTGGCATGTTAAGGGAGTTATCTGTGTATGTGTGCTGAGTCCTCAGCCTGTTGTGCTTGCTACTGCTTCAGGTACCATTAAAGACGGTGGGATTCTGCCTCGGGCCTTAGCAGTCATCTTCAATAGTGTGGGGGACCAACTGTATCAAGCCATGGATCTGAAACCTTCCCTCTCCAGCGAGGTGATGTGGCTGGACAGTAGGCAGGCTCGGCAGGAAGAGACCAAGAAACAGACCTTGCTGCGGGGGGGTCTCTGGGAGGTGAGCAAGCTCCTTCTAGCTCACTTGTGTTAAGAGGAAAGTGATGGTGCTAATACTGCAGACTCATGCTCTCCACTTCTTCCAGGAGGAGCTATTAACACCACTGAAGAGGAGCCATAGTGCTGAATCCCAGCTTCAAGCCACCACAAGTGGCAGTTTTGACAGTGGAGTTGCTGGCCTCTCTTCATCTAGCCAATTTACCAGCCATTCAGACCTCAGCCAGACAGAAGGTACAGGGGGGCAGCCTGTCCTTGCACTGCTGCTTTTAACTGGGGGCAGGGGGAAGAAAGGAATGTTTATTTGGTGTAAGGGAGTGAAGATTCTGCATTCTCAAGAATTTTGTAGGAGGAAGATGAGGATCTCTGTGCTGAAGAACTGTGCACGTGTTGTTAGTATAGGAAGAGCTGACAACGGTTTAATAACAAAGCCTTGTGAAATGAAAAATTACTTGAATCTTGACTCTCTTAGCTTATTGGGAAGCTGAGCATCATGCAGTGGGGATAGGTGGAAAGCAGGGTGCTGAAGCTGACAGGCTGCATTGAGCAGACTGTTAAACCTAGGGGATAGTAGCTCACTGGATGGCCAGAAGAGTCAGCAAGGTAACCAGGACTATAACTTATTCCAGAGGGGCTTTTGTTTATGATACCCTGTACTCCTAGAGTAGAAATCAAGCACATAGAAAGTCCTTATACAGCAAGGAGGATGCTGCTAAAGGGAAGCTTAGAATGTCTGCCTGGGTATAGGTGTTAGAGGATGCCTGGCTTCRAGTGGAGGAGTATAGAATAGATTTGAGCCAGAGGAAGTTTTCCTGCTCAGGAAAGATACCTAAATTTCAAGTTAAGCTACTCAAGTTCAACTTGTGAAAGGAGCAATCCTGCATTTTCCTCTTATTCTTTTCCAGAACTGGGTCCTCGCTGGTCTGATCTGGATCGTATTTCACTCACTACCACAGCAGATGTGCAGTTCTCCATCTGGGTCTCCTTCTTTGAAATTTACAATGAGTTAATCTATGACTTGTTGGAACCAACTCCACCAGGCCAGAACCGCAAGAGGCAGACRTTGCGGCTCTGTGAAGACCAGACTGGCAACCCCTATGTGAAAGGTATGTCTGCCTGCAAAATACTTAGGGATTTAGATGCTAGAGGTGGGTCTGGGAGGATTGTACTTGGGGTACTCTGTGGACTGAGTTGGTACTTAGCAGGAATGTGTTGGGGAGCATGTGCTGTGATCTTTAGGTTTCTGATGTCTAAGTAGGGTGAAATGAGGTTTCTAATGCCAAGGAAATGCAACAGTGAAGCTGGGACAGAGCTAACTGGGACTGAGTCCTGACTAACTTGCCCAATGCATGTGTGCTTTTTCAGATCTAAATTGGGTCMATGTCCGTGATGCTGATGAGGCCTGGAAGCTCCTGAAACTGGGTCGGAAAAAACAGAGTTTTGCTAGTACCCACATGAACCAGAACTCCAGTCGCAGGTTTGGGGAGGGAACAGCGTGTTTAGACTTACTCACGCAATTCTGAGGAGCTTTCACAGGCCATATTTCTATTTTTAAATATCTGTTTTTCTTTTTATAGTCACAGCATCTTTTCTATTCGGATTCTGCACTTGCAAGGAGGTGGCAGTGAAGTTGTTCCCAAAATCAGCGAGTGAGTTTCATGCCCTTTAGGAYTGTGTGTGTGTGTGTTTCCCTACTGTGGAATTTTTTTAAACTTTTTTTAAACTTCTCTGAGTTTACGGATCTGGGTATGTGAATATCCTGAGGTGGATCCAGTTAGAAGTGCCTGGAAGGAGCAACTAAGTCCCGGAATTGACAGTGGGAAGGAATTTGTGAGAAGTGCTGTCAAGCACAACTTGGTAGTTTTCAGGCTCCCTTAATGAGGGTGAATGTGGATAACTGTTCTTGTTCCGGAACTGGTTTGTTGCTGGTGCCTGTTCTTGGGATGTAATTATCTGGAAAATGAATTGACCCAGCACCTGGAAAGTCTCTGTATTGAAGACTGACAGATGATCTTCAAATATGGTACTACTAAGCTATTACACTATCACCTGGTGTAGCCCCTACAGTTTAGATAAGCTACTGCTGCCTGGTAGGGTCCGCACTGCAAAGGYGCTCCTGCACTCTAGGGAAGCTGGAAGAGGGTGAGCAGGATAAGATAATCACAGAGTATCTGACTTTTAAACCTGGGCAGGACAGKGCAAACTCAGAGGGTCATATTATCTCCTGCTTCTTCAGGCTATCTCTGTGTGACCTTGCGGGGTCAGAGCGCTGCAAGGACCAGAAAAGTGGGGACCGAATGAAAGAAGCAAATAACATCAACACCTCCCTGCACACGCTGGGCCGCTGCATTGCTGCCCTCCGCCAGAACCAGCAGTCCAAGCAAGTACTCAAGACATCATGGGAGGGGATGAGGGAAGCTGTTGTGCTTTTCCAGGGGCTCACTCTTGGGTCTCCCCATAGATTGAAGCAGACTGTGGTTCCCTTCCGGGACAGCAAGCTAACACGGGTGTTCCAGGGATTCTTCACTGGACGTGGACGCTCTTGCATGATTGTCAACATTAACCAGTGTGCATCTACATACGATGAGACTTTGTATGTGGCCAAGTTTTCAGCCATTGCCAGTCAGGTAAGTTGTACATCTCAATCATGGAATGCTTGGGATACTTCTTGCTTCTGTGGGAATGGGGCCCTTTCCATCACAAGGGAAGGTGGGGATGCTTGCAAGTCCTCCCCTGCTTCTTCAGTGACTTATTTCCTCTTCAAGTTTCCAAGTTTTCCAAGTTCTGCTAAACTTAGAGGCTTGACAAAGGGCAGAGAAGTGTCCCAATTCAGGACTGCATGACTTGCAGGCTTGTGGACTTGAAGTAATGGTAGCCTTTTTCCTTCAGCTTGTTCAGGCACCTCCCACAAAGGTAGGACTTCCATCCATACAATCAATCATCAAAGAGCACAGCAGGAGAACCAGCCAGGGGCCAGAGGCGGTGGCAAAAGAAGCGGAATCAGAAGATGACAGTGAGGATGAAACAGAAATCACCATGTATGAGAAAGAGGTGGGTAGTGGTATGTTTTACCTCCTTTCCAGATAGAAGGGCATGAACATGACTGTTAGTTTTGATCTGAAARCTGGAGCCCAGCAAAAATAGAGATCACAGAGAACCCCAGAAAGATATGGGAACCTTAGACCAAGAAATTGGGRATCCATGAAAAGATTCAACAATCAAAATCTGAAGCACAGGCTTAATTTGGAAGCAATTYGGCATCTGTAGAAAGGGGAAAGTAAGAGCTCAGTTGCAGACCATACTCTGCTATGCAAGGGAGAAACCTAGAGATCAGAAAGCAAAACAGATGCCTTTAAGGAAAAAAGCAACTCTTCCAGATCCTTTGCATGCGCAGCTGGACTTGCTGAAAGATTAAGAGATGGAGGAGCTAGATTAAGAGATGGAAATTGAAAGATTAATAGACTTCAGTTGCAATGTGCCAAGGTGGCAAAAGCCAGTGCAGTCCTGAGTAGTGTAGAAAGAGAAACTGTTCTAGAGACAGTTCCATGTGGAATGTGGTGTCTAGGCAGTCTCACTGCAGAGGAATTCAAAGCAAGGCTGGCAGCTTCTCTTTGCAAGTGACTGAAAGCACCTTTAAACCTTGATTCACTCAGGCAGGAGGTCCAAGATCAGCAGGGTTTGTTTCCCTAGGCTTTATTTCTGTTGTGCAGCGTGGACAAAGCAGTTTGGTGTCCTTACTGCAGGACTTGCTGCGTATAGTGGATGCTGCACGAGAGCTGCTGGTGCAAGAGCGGCAGGAGAAGCTGCAACTAGAAATGCGCCTCCGTGAAGAGATCTGCAAYGAGATGCTGGAGCACCTGCAGCAGAAAGAGCAGTGGTGCAGGTACAGCTTGTTCTGATCACCTGAAGAATCGAGTGAACTGTGATAGAGAGGGGAGACCAAACGCAGCCAGATCTGATGCCTGCAGTTATTTGCTCTCTCTGTAGCCAACACGTGGATGCCCAGAAGGAGCTGCTAGAGGAACTGTATGAAGATAAAYTGAACAACCTGAAGGAGGCACTTACTGACTATTACCAAGAGGAGATCCAGGTTTGTTCAGGGCAATGGAATGACATTACGAAGTGGTAGTGGGTTTGGGAAAGGAGGCAAGATGCTTGAATCAGGAAGCTGATAATTGTGTGAATTGAGAGCAAGGGTTTTGCTTCTGTGTGCTTGCAGTATTCCTTGATAGCTCAATCCACAGTTTTTGGCTACTGCTTTATGCAGATCACCAGGCTTTCTGTTTTTCAGCCCTTAGTTTACACTCTAAAGTATCAATTCCTCTGTTTGCTCAATATAAAGTTTTCCTTCACCCCTTCACTCTGTACTAACCTGCTTTACAATCTGCAGGTTAACACAAGTTCTGTGAWTGATCTCTGAAGATGCCAAATCTCTAAAATCTTTTGTGAGGAAAGGCTGGAAAAAAATAAGCTCAGGAAATGGTTTCACTGCCTTCACTTAAGGACACTAAGTGCTAGGRTTAGTGAGTAAAGTGTAAGATATAAGAAAATCTCCTGGAAGAAAWGGACACAAAGTTACTGAAGATTCAGTGAGCAACAACTGTGTTAAGAGATCTTTGTTTTTTACAAACAAATTTGCTTTCTTAGGTCCGTGATGAGAAGATAGAGGAGCTCCAAGCTACTCTGCAGGAGGAAAAACAAAAACTGGAAAACCTGCAGGCTAAGGCAACGGACTCGGAGCAAGGCCTGCGTAGATCAAAGCGAGTGGCTGCCTCGGGCACTCTGCAGCAGGAACTGCTTGAAACTAAAKCCAAACTAGAGCAGTGTCAGATGGAGTTGAATACAGCAACAGCAGGTAATGAAGTGGTGCTGCCTTGGCTCTSAACAATGTTTGAGTTCTCCCTGCAGAAAGTTAGAATATTTTGTACTAGATTTGGACACTGAAACTGTTTTGAGTTGTGGGAGAGGATAGGAACAGTGTGCAGGATGGATTTGTCCTTGTTTACAYGATGATCGCAGAACCTAGAAAGTCCCTTTGTTTAACTGAAAGAAGGTGCAAGAGCCATGCCTGCACAAATCCAAAGCCTTGCTCAGTTTGCCTGTGGCATCTTTTCTCAAAGGGCTGAAGTAGCTTGAGGAAAAAAATAACCCTGATGAATGTACTGTAGCCTGCTGCTTTTGTCTGTTCCCAGAGCTGCGCAAATACCAGAAATTAGTGGAGCCACCTCCCTCTGCCAGACCCATTACAATGGATGTAGATAAGAAGCTGGAGGAAGGACAGAAGGTAAGTTCGCTATTGTGTTATGGAATGGAACTTCTGTGGGGGAAAGTGGTTGCTAGTTTGGAGTATTTGYAGCTGTTGACTGCATGTTTTTAAATGAATGGTTAAAGGCAAATGATCTGCTCAAAACAGACCTTTATCAGATGTTTGGAAGGTCTGCTACCAGAGATACCACTGACTCTCACCAAGATAACATTTAGCTTTGAGGAGATCTTATGTTAAATCTCTCCTTCCTATAGAATGTGAGATTGCTGCGGTCGGAACTGCAAAAACTTGGGGAGTCTCTCCAGTCTGCAGAGCGGGCGTGCTGCCACAGCACGAGTGCRGGGAAGCTCCGAGAGGCCCTCTCTGCTTGTGATGACATTCTGGCCAGACAGGTAACACAGATGTCTGGTTGGGGGTTGCAGGGGATTGAGACTAAGGCCTGTTGCCCAAACCAGCAGGTAAAGTTAAGTAATATCCTGTCTTCTCAGGACCAAACACTGGCAGAACTGCAGAACAACATGATGCTGGTAAAATTAGACTTGAGGAAGAAAGCAGCTTGTATTGCTGAACAGTACCACACTGTGCAGAAGCTCCAGGCTCCCCCAACATCCACCTTAAAGAAACGGTTCTGTGCCAACAGGGAAAACCTCCAACCAAATCAGCCTCCTGGTAAAAAGCCCTTTCTGCACAACCTTCTATCACGTTCAGCTTCCCGTCCTGCTGGCAGAGGGTGGCAACTTCGTTCAGTTGCTCTATGACTCTTACCAAAGAGATCTCTGCCCCACTATTATTGGAACAGGTGGCAAATCCAATATAATAGCATCTCTTTTTCTTTGTGCGCTTGTTTTTTTATTATTGTAGCTGCTTGAGAGCTTATGTAAACATTTATATATGTATGGTTAAACTTTTTAATCAAAACCAAAGTGGACAAATGAGGTTTGTAACATAAACACTATAATGAGGAAAGGTCTTTAAATATAAAATAATGTGCATGATTGAAGTTGTTTAACAAAAGCACAGGTTAAGTGAGTTCTCTTCAACTATATTGGCACATAACTCAGTTCACAAGATCCTCTGTGAAAGGTATTCTGCCTTCCTTGAATTATAATCCTTTATTAAAGTATACACGTTCTAATTCAGGGCGGCTCTCTCGGATCTTGGCTTGCAGTTCTGGTTCCAAGCGTGCTACAGCCATGGAACTAAGCAAAAGAAACAGTAACACTGTTATATATAACAAGCACTTGACTCCACGCTAAGAAAGATGATGCATCTAGTTCAACTTTTGTTTGTGGGCTTGTGTGTTTTCTGTTTTGTGAACAAGTCATGTTCACAGATTGGGGTGAACGATCTCTCAAATGACAGCAGGATGTTCTATGGATACAACCAGCTGAACTGCTATTGTCATGAGGTTAGGAATCTAGTTACTTAAGGTTGTTCATGGCAATAGTAGCTTCCATTTTTGAAAGTTTGTTTTTTAAGAAAACATTGTATATGCTTATTTAACTTACTGCATGACTTTATTCAACTGAATAAAAGATTTATTTTATAAGACTCCTCTCCCAGAAGAGTAAATTTGGTTGACAGGTCATGTAAATAGTTGCAATTTCCTAAATACAGGTTGAGATCTGATTTTCTTATGAAACTTAGTAAGCACAGTAGTCTCCAGGAAAAGGAAATTGAGAGCCTGGTTAAAATCAGGAATTGCATCAAAATTGCCAATTGCCTACTCCTTTAACTGATTTGGTTCCAGCTTGCATCTTCGGGGCTGCATTTGGCATCTTGTGCCTAGTTTTAGCAACCGCTATTGATGCAAGAGTTCATTGAGTTCAAGACCCTCATTTACATAGTGCAGTTTGAACTAACCTTAATTGTAGATAACCCATTCAAGTTTCCATATRGCTTTAAGGTATAAAGATTACTATTCTTGTGACAACCTGCAGTCCTGAGATAGTGATGCATTGATGAAAAATTCTTACCTGAGTAAGATTAATCTGCTAACAAATAAGCATGTATATACTCAAGCGCTGTTCTCTCTAACTAGWGGGAATTCTCCTTTGAAAATTAAATGGATCTGATTGCATTTAAAATATCATAATATTATTGGACAGCAATGTGTTGCATGGGCTATGTTAGCCTCTATGAATCACTGCAGTGATTCCTAGYTTATCAAGTTCCAAGTCTTTCCCTGACCCCACAACTCCCAACATTTTCAGTCTGAAATAGATTGTACAAACAATTCCCCTAAGCCTGTCTGCTTGCTCGCTACCCCTCTATAAATGCATCTCTGAAGCTGCTAGGTGTTTATAAACAAACCAAATTCAGTTACTAGGTGTTGTTGATAAATAATAGTTATTGTTTTGATGAATTTTCTCATGCTTATSCCATTTGTTATGTGGGAAGTGAGACTGTGTGCTCGAGCAGGCATTATTTGTGTGTCTTTTCTGCAGTAACCTTGCATGCACTGGAAGTGTTAACATTAAAATAAGAACAACAAAACAGGACTACGTACCTTTTCTGAGGAAACAGGGCACAGCACAAAGGTGTTGCAAAGACAAGACTAGAAAAGATTAAAAAAGGGGTTTACAATGTTGAGGATACTAAAAAAAATCTAAACCCTTAAGCATGGTAAATAGGTAGAAAGCTTATTTGCTTTATTTTTTTTATTCATTTACTTGTTTTCCAGACAGGAACTGTTGGGTAATGCTTCACATTCTCACTGTGTAATACCTTATAGATTCTTTTACCTGCTATCCAGTTGAAAATGCATCAGTGCTATGCTTACAAATGCATATAAAACTCTTGTTCAATGTCCTTTCACAGAACTTTACATAGGTGCACAGGACAACTTAAAATGCTAGACACATTCAAGTCCTCAATGAGATCTGCTTCAGGAATTCATCAAAACTACAGGATTAGATTCCAGTCATCAGTGATGGAGAGAACAGCTGAAGCACCCTTTAAATTAAGCTGCTCWGTGCCCTTTCTTTGCCACTCCTGTTTTCCCACTTCCCTCCTCTTCTTCTGGCATATTCTTCATTTTATTAAATGCTTACTTTTGTTTATATCATTATCAGTTACAAGTAAAGTAACTGCGCTGGTCTCATGAACTTCCTCAACTCAACTGAGGAATGATTAATTTCTGTGGTTTCTAGCCCTAATCTGCATAGGCTTTTCCTTTAAATAAAAATATTTCCACTTCTTCCTTCAGAAAAACCTTACAGGTACATTTTAAAATAGCAGATGTGATTCAAGGAAATCACTCACCAGAAGCCAACTAATCCAACTTGAATGGGAGCACTCATCCATGGAAATCTCTGTTAAAAAAACACGCACAGTGAGTATGATGTCTCTTTTCCCCCCTTTCCTACCTTCCTGGMAATTTCCTGTAGTGTAAGGGACAGATTACATCTGAAGGACTGTTAGATGCAAATAAGGCAAAATAGTTACTGGAATATCTTAAATCTCAGCTCTGAGAGTCTGATGCAAATTCCTTTGAATGTAATAGAAAATGCCCAGGGATATCATTCCACACCTATTCTGAGTAAGTGTCACTGAAACTGGGCAGTTGACTSTTTTCCTTGTGTCCCAATTCTGACTTGAGTGTGAGACCATTTCTTCTATGAGTCCCCTATGCCCTCAGAATTTATCAAGAGAGCYACCTTTTGGAGCAATACAGCCTGGCTTACAAGGTCTTGAGGGGCACAGCAAATTTGGACTGAGACTCTCTCTGCAGGGGCAGCTGTAGCTACAGCCCCTCTCTCCACTGACATTCAACAGTTCTAATTTACAGCTGGGCAATTCTTTGTGTGCCACAGCAGTTGTCCTCCAAAAATAAAGGAGAGGGATCCAGCCTCTCTTAGCCCTTTCTCTATTCTTATGATTTTCTCTGTAGGTTACACGGGTAAGTTCYTACACATCAGTCTAGTGATTCTAGTTCTGCAAGAACTCAGCTCCTTCATGAAAGAAAAAGTGGTGGAAAAAGTGAGCAAACAACACAGAACAACACCAGAATGCAGCCTGTAAGATACRGATGCTTATTTTAAGCATCTCCTTCAATATTTTGATTTTTGCAGAACTATGTGCCAAGGAATGTAAGTTTTCTTGTAGGTATTCAATGATTTAGGAACCCCCCATTCTGTGTTAGAATTTTAGTTCAAATTAATTACTAATGAAATAAAACTAGACCTGGTTAAATGAGACTGCTGCAATGGGCTTTTGTTGTTACAATAAAACAAGTACCTTCAATAAGTAAGACCCACACACAACTGCTTCTATAACAAAAAGGTGATTTTGAAACAAACCTGCGAAGGACTCAATTACACATTAGAGTGAATAAGTATAAAGTTGATGCTTTGTGCAAGAAGCATTTCTCAAGCTGTAGAAGTTAAGGGAGAACTGGTGTACAAGAGCTGGTCAGTAGGTAAAAGCAGAACTGGAGAAAAAGAGGTTTAGAAAGCTCAGTAGGTTGATGCTGGTGCTAGAAGCAATATGTAAAGCACAGAAAACAAGCCTGAAATAAGCCCTCTCCAGAGTGTRAGTGAAGAGGAAATGATGTAGAAGATTGTTCCTCTTGGTGGCAGTCTGTAATCCAGAACTGAGTGCAGGAGGAACTGTGTGCAATTCAGCAAAACCCTGCAACAATAGATAAATAGGAAAAGATAACAATAGCAAGAAGCATAAAGTGTGAATTTAACAGTTCTCTGCTGTGTTGGCATCTGCTATGTTCATTTTAACTTGACTCAGCTGATATAAGTTTACTGAAAAAAGAAATTAAGCTTTGGAGGTTGGGAGAGTTAAGGGCAAGAGAGGATGTGAGGTAYACCAGAAGAGCAGACCTCAGACAGTGCTTATCACAGCCCAGGTATGAGGACACAGGAATTGTGATGAGACTGGCAGCTATTACATGTATTTGGGAAAAGAACACAAATTCTATACTGYGAAAGACTCCCCATTTAAGAGGAAGACTAAGACAAGAGGAATACTAAGCAGTGTGAGCTGAGACACTTAACAGAAAAGCATCTATTTTATAAAGCATTTTTATTTAATAGAGAAAAGGGTTCTTAGAGGGTATCATGACAGTAATATTATCAGATAGTGGTTTCAAACCTTTAACTTAGTTGATCATTAAACTAAAAGACTAGAGCTGCCTTAACAGTAGATGCAACCTAAGTGATGCCTGTTACATTTGTTGGAATTTATTTTGCTAAAGTGTCCGATCTGATGATAAAGTTACATTACTTTCCAAGAGTTACCAGACTACACTAACTAAGAAAGATGGTGAGGGAAAATACATGGTGGGGAAAAAAAAAAAAATCCAAAAGGTAACTATTAAGAATTGTAACTGCCTAGAGAATAATTCTGAAAAGAGAGAAAAAAAAAAAGCAAATCTCAAATACAGACTGTACCTCTGTACATCCCTACAAAGAGATAAAATAGAGAAAGGTATTTAGTGTGCTAGAGATCTATCACTTAACCTAGGAAGAAGGCAGCTTCAAATGATTTAGGATTTAATTTCCAGATGACTTCATGGAATCTTGAGCAGAGAGGCTGGACTAGGTGATCTCTAGAGGTCACTTCAGTGTGTGATTCTGTGAATCATATAGCAGTTAGTGCAGACCAAGAAAATGCAGAAATGATAATTAAGCAAACAAAAGACAAAAGGAAAATCAAAGCTTTCCTAAATGCTTCCTTTCATTGTTAGACCTCAAAGTGTTCCAGCTTTCCCAGCTTAACTACGATTGTTTTCTAGAAGATGAATAAATGACATGATGATTAAATTAGGAATGCAAAGAGGAATCTAAGGCATAAGACATTCAAGAGTGGTAATTAAAAAAAAAAGTCTGTTCTAGTATTTTAACAGTTTTGAATACATATTTTAGCTGCAGTTTAACAATCCAAGTGGCTTGTTTTATAGGATGCAAGAGGAAATTAGTGGAATCAACTTCAATGTCAACATGATATGCAAAATAGGAGAGAAACAGTAGATGAATCTGCAAAAGTGGTAATATAAATTAAAACCTCAGTGTCAATTAGAGTTTAAAGAGCATTTTACAGAAGAAAAATTATTTCTTTAGGAAAAAGGTCATATGTAAAATCTGTAACTCCTAAGCCTCGCAATAATGTTGTTWATGGCTCTTTTCACAGCAGCAAACTCATTTCTGCCCATAGCTAGTCAAGTGTAAATCAACAGGATAATGAATGCAGGCATTAATCAGCCTCATCACCAGGAACCACTACAGTGCTTAATAACACAAAATGCCTGCCAAAGCCACTGCTGAAGTCTAGGAAATAAAAAACACATTTAGAGCTTTCAAGGCAAGAAATAATTAGATTCTTTTTAAACCAGCAACTATGTGTTCATGTGTTTTTATTTTGAATATATTCCTGAACCATTTTCTAACTGTAACTACAGGGAATATTGTAATTCCCAACAACATTTCCATCAAAATGTCCTCATGCAAAACAGTATCAGAAGATGGGGATGAACGTTGCTATGTAGCCTACTTTTACTTCAAACATTAGAGAGTGACATCCTGCTATCTCGAGATATGCAGTCCAGAGGTATTTGTTTCTATCCCACTGCAGACCATCATTCTATTTTCTTTATTATTTCCTCTATTTTCTTTATTATTTCCCAACCATTTGCTTATTTTCTGGCCTGCTTGTATGCTGGCTAATGGGCTTTGGCAGGCATACAAAACTCTTTTCAGGAGTGATGATGTGCAAAGCAAAGGCTAAGAGAAATGAGTTAGTGAAGCGTTGTGTGGGTGGTGGGATGGTGCTTCTGAAACCTCAAAAGAACATGCACAAGCTGCTTGTTAAAAATGCAGCTCATTCCTTAATGGTTTTAATACTAATCTATACCAAGTGTTACCACTGACTACCTGCGGAGCAGTGTTTCACCTGAACTCACAGTCTTTGAGGCTGAGGGGGAGGAACAGGTGAGCATAAGCGGTCATGATGGTACCAAAGACCACTGAGCAGTCACTGAAGAAATCTCTCATTTTTGCTGATCTGAAAAATTCACAACACCCTTAGATTGATTATACTGCATAAAAAAATTATCGATATTTGTCTCCAAACTTCGTGAAAACCTTCCACAAATGTCATGTATTTGACAGCTGAACTGACTAGCATTTGTGACATCTCTCCCCTGTCAAACTTACATAAAACTATCTTTGCTCTAAATTTACAAATATTTTGATATTGAAAAATAAATAATCGCTATTTTGACTAATTTATTCTCAGGAACATAATTGCTCAAAGTTGCTGTCCCAACAGGGTAGGGCTCAAAAGATAATTTTGAAATAGCCAAATCAGTAAAGGGCATTTATGTTATAGAATAGTTCGTTTGAAYGAATTGCAGTCTCGCTTCTTTTAGGAGATATAAACATCTTGCACAAGCTTCTACTCTAAATCTCAAATGCTGCATTTCCTCTTAAATCATGAGAAATAGTTAAAAAAAAAACAGGATAAAAAAAGAAGTGCTTAAAGAAAACAAGGTTTTCAAAATTCAAAGACACTTGGGACTTCTTCCTAGTGTCTCATTTATATACTAAGACCCAACCATTTTCAAATGATGTAAGGAACTGAATAATCTAATTCAGTAGATTAGGTGTACAGCCTTGTTGCTCCCATAGTCCAATGTCTCTGATTTGGCCCATTTTTATGAKGAGTGCTCTACTCACCCTTTTCAGAGCATCTTAGGATGTGTTTGGGAAGTACAGGGCGTGTTTAAGGAAGGATCATGTTTGAGTAGACATCTGAAAGCATTTTACCAAATTCATCTGGCAAAATCTCGTGTACATGGAGCAGTGAAGTGAGAAAAATGAAAAACTGGTAGTTTTAAGGGTTTGGAGCTCATCTAGCTCTGAACATCATTTAAAATATTAAGGCTTTGATTCAGACAAGTACCTGCATTTGTTATTCCTTCATCCCTTCACAACAATTGGGTCATGCCTATGACTTAAACTCTGGTTATGGGTAACTGTTTTCCTGAATCAGCAGCAGAGCTCCYTCAGCTTGTTTGTGACTGGTTTCCGTTGAGATTTGATTTTTTTAATGGAAAGAATTACTTAAGTTCTCCCAGATTTGGACTTAAAGTTAATCCCTGATCAGAGTCGGAGGCATCTGAATTTTAGTTCAACATTTTAATACTTAACACTCTCTAACTACTCATTAAAATACTTTAATAGAGTTAAGCCACAGTTACAAGTTTTTATGTTTCTTTCTGAAAATTCAAACTCCCATCTTATCCTACAGGAAAAGACAATAATTGGTTTTCAGTAGCACAAGAATTTGTTTTCTATTTGGTAGGGAAATATGAAGACTTAAATAGTATTTTAAATATAACATGAAAATATTAACTTGCGATATAAACATATACATATAGATTGTTGACAAGACTAACCTTTAGAAAGGCTCTCTTCTCCAATGTATTCATTATAAAGGGAGGAATTGCTGCAAATGGGAGAAAGCAAAACATGAACCTTGAAGAAAAAGGCATTCTGTTTTAATATTCTGTTAAGATGAACTAATATATTAAAAGACAATTTTAACAGCCATTTACATTCTGTCAGTTCAAGACACTAGATTGCTACTTTACAAAGATAGATTCCCCAGTAAGTGCAGTTTCTAACTTCACAATAAACTAAACCTGAGTTCAAAAAGCTGACACTGGTCAAAACACACACTCTTCCCTAAACCAATTTCTCTCAAGTAGAAGTTGCTACTATATCTCTACCTGCTAGTTATAACTCTTTCTGCAAAAGCATCTCTCCTCACTTCAGAAACTACTAATCAAAGCTATATTGACTGAAGTTATCCTTACCCATGCCAGGAGCAGCCATCAGAATCCTTGATATAACCACCTGAGTAATTGCCTGCTGAGCTGCTTTGGTTGATTCACCCAGTCTGTTCCCATTCTCATCTGTGATRGGGATTCCAAACTTGAGTTCCCTGTTGAAAGATATAAATCCATGGAGTTCTGTTTTCCAAGTTCGTCTTTAGCACTCTTTGGTACAAAAGATTTCAAAAGACAGAGGAGTTGTGGAAAAAGTGAGCAGTTGAGTATCTGTAACAGCAGTCTACCACCGGAGCCTGATCACATGCATTCCAAAGGGGAAAAGAGAAGACCTGTTATCTCTGCAGTCTGAAGAYGGGGCAGGTTCCTTCAAAAAGCAATTCAGAAAAGCTGAACTTTCTGGACTGCTCTCCAAGTTGACTGTCTTTTCTCACAGACAACATATGGAACACAGGAAAATTAGTTTCACTGAACTAAAAAAAAAGTCTTTGTGAAAATCCCCTCCAAAACACTCCACGCCAATTCCAAACCAAATTCGAAATTCCATTCCATATCTAAAACATGGATRAAATACTACAATGGATTGAACTTCATACTTCCTTCCTCCTTCCCCACAATAGCCCTCTCTTCATAACAGGACATTTTCAATTTGTTTTTTCCCCACTTCTATTTTCAGTTCTAGTCAAATCAGATTACATGTGAAATTGTATTTGTGTGAAAAGACATTTTTTTTTAATCTTAGATGACCGAACAGAACTGCAGAGTCTGACTTCTACGACTTTTCTATGTGGAATTCGAAGAATCATTTTTGAAATGACTCTATTTTTCCTAATAGGAGCTTGTACTTAAAGGGTCCACATGATCAAGTTGTGGAGGACAGGTACTTGAYTTCTGAGATTCAAGACTGAAGAAATAAATGGGTATTTATCTAAAGAGAATGAGCATGATCTATTTTATAYGAGTCACAGTTGATCAATCAAAACAAGACTGCATGAGATTTTAGCAAGGTTTTGAAAAAAAACTAAAGATATAACATGCTTAATTTAGTGATGTGCTAATCTACTTGACAACATCATTTCCCTCTAAAATGAGTGATCTTCTTTCTTTTTCTTACCTTTGTCTCATTAGTGGAATATTAATACAGTTAGCAGCTGCAACAGCAGCAAAAGGAACAAATCTTCCTATGAGAGGTGAGACATGCTGTGAAAAGCATAGAGAGAAAAAATACAGGAAAAAAAAACACATTATGATTTTTTTTTCCAAGGGTCATACTAAGATGCATTTCATGTACTAGCGATAGACCAAATTTATTTCCTTAAATTTAAAATTTGGTGAAAACTCACCAGTGAGGCCTGCAGCAAAATAACAAACAAACAAGATTTAAGTCATAAGTACTTCCATCACAGTGAGCACTAGCACGAAGTTGAAAAAAAGATCTTAATTTGGTAGCATCACTGCAGAGCAGTGTCAGCTTCTGAATATGTCTGTCAACCCAAGGGCAACGCTAAATGGACCTTAACATCAGTGTCTCCACTGGCAAGGTTAAACCAGCACGTCTATACCAGCTGCTTTGCATCTAAGGCCGCTGACTCAGAAACTATTCATCTCATCGATATATTATATAACCTGATTTACTCTCTTAAAATAGTCTCTATTAAATAACTTGCCAATACTCTATCATTCCCAACACATTAAAGCATAAGCAAAGGGGTGCACAACACATTTTTGTTATTTTCTGTAAGGAATCTTTTATATAACATACTGTGCATTTATTTWAAAAAATCTAATTTTCTACATGAAACCAGTTCAAGAGATAAAACTTGCAYATGCTGCCGATTTCTTACAGCCAGTCTAGAGCCAGCGGCCACTTTTGCTGAAGCAATACTACCCTTTTAAAAACACACCTCTATCTTTTATAGTCATATTCAGATACTGGACACACGTTTTTATAATTACACATCCACTCCAGTTAACAAAAGCTATTTAGATACTTGAACAAGTAATAAAGATACTGCAAAACGGGCACCTTCTTTGGATAGTTTGTGTTACCAAAATAGCGTCCAGACATTCGAAATGTATTGAAGCCATCTATATGGGAGAAAATATAGCTGGAATCTRAACAAGGGAGGTGTCAAAGCAATTACAGCTCCATACTGGGAGCTGTGCACAACATGACACAGATGCACTGGAGAAGAAATGAGCCACTGATATTTAACAGAACAGCAAAGTATATTTAAGAATGAGAAAAAATATCAACAATACCTTGGTTAGTGCATTAAGTCCTAAAGCAGTTGCAACAGCACCCGTGGTAGCAGAGGCATAGGCTGTTCCCAGCTGGCTAAAAAAAAATAGAAATGTTTCTACATACACAACAATTACATTTATGTCACTTTAACTTTTCTATATTCAATTTTCTAATCACTTAAACTTACATAGCCAACTTAAATATCTAAGACAATATGCACAATGGTAACTGGTATCACCTGCACCAAAACCCACACAAGCTATGCTGTAAACATCTAAATTCCACTCACTCTGCTTTCAAATATAATTTACATGCTTCTCAACTAGCAGGTGTGTCTGTTTACCCTCTAATCCACCACTTTCTCCAGGAGGTCAGCAAGCAAGCCTGCCCCAAAAACAGGGAGGCAAGCATTGCAATTAGTCTCCTATTYATGATTTTTAGCATTCTGCACCTCCTTTATCTCTTTCTTTGCCTTCAAGCAGATGCAAGTAGCATGCAGGCCACCTCCTTAAAGGCTCCAGTTTGCAAATAAGCACACGGTGTTGCATGTGCTGCATTGCAGGACACAGGCAGAAGGCAACACCGGAGGCAACACATGAAGTTCCACAGAAAACATCAATTTAGAAATACTGTGCTATAACACCAAACTGATGCAGCATTTTTAAATGACTGATTGATCCGTGCAGTCAGGCTCCTAGCAAATCCTATGTTGTTGTTTAGGTGCTTATAATCATGGTGCTTAGACCCATCTTTAAAGGGAGAAAGGCAGATGTCATCTCCATCATTCTCACCTAATTCTAATTCTCATCTATTCTAAACCTATCAAGCTGGTATTAAATATAGATTCCCAAACCCGTCTGTCTATCACCTCAAACTTTAAAGCYCAACTGTGTCCAACGCATTGGAGAACTAGTTACAAATACACCAGAACTGTGTGGTTTAGTGTCTCACCTGACCGTGATGGGGGCATCACCGCTCCTGTTTGTGTAATTGACTATAGCGTTGAAGGACTGGTTAATCCACTGCCAGAAAACCACCGCTGGTGTCGTTCTTAAAACAAGAAACAATTATTATTATTTTTAAAAACATAGTTGAAACAACAGAAGAGAAAAATCGCAGGAAATCAAGAAAAAACAGTTCAAACTATAATCAGGCGGAGGTTCTTGTTTATCTGAATAAAACAATTCAGTCAATGAGATACTGTCTTACTAACAAAAGTACAAGTTACTCTATTTAAGAGATTTTAAAAGTATCATAAATAAGTAACTAAGTGTACTAAATGGCTGTAGTACTTTTGGACTAAGAAATTCCTGGTCCACAGATAGTTGGAGCCTGGGAGACTATACCAGGGGTTAGGTGTTCCTGTGTACCAGGGCCACAAACTCTGCACCTAAGGAGAAAATATTCAAGTTTCTGCTGCACCTTGCCACTAAAAATGACTTTGATTTTGAAATGGGAAGATACGTAATTTCTTGGGGGGAGRGGGGAAGGGGATTTGGATGATTTGAAAGGGTCTTCCCCTTCCTTCTGGTTTCAGTATCTAACTATGATGTAAAGGTACAGTGATAAACTAGCTGGATTTTCTCCGTCACTGCGGATTTTCTTCATTTCTTCTCATGCATGAGCAATTCTTCCCCATCCACCTTTGTGTTTCCTGAGCTACTGCAACACAGAGGATATTAGGYCCCCTATGACAAAGTTCAGACACGACTCACACTACCTTCCTGCGAGGCTAAGAGCCTCCCTAGGCAGAATGAGGAATTTGCCTTTTTTTTTTTTCCAGTAACCAGCAATAACCAAGACATATGGATGTGCAGTAAGATGGAAACTAAAATTCACCATCCAAGAACTTCTGCACAGTTCCATTCACACTGCTGAGGATATTTCTCCAAAAAAGTAATGTCTTCCAGGATAAYAAGCAGTTCAGTTTAGAGCGATTCTACCAATCATGCAGAAAAAATATAAATACCTTTTGTAACTACTATCACTAATAACAGAACACATAAAAATAAGCATAACCTGTTAACAGCAGTGTTTGTGGGCAGTTGCACTGGTGGTTTTATTTGTATTCTTGACAGACCAGTGCTTTTATAGACACACAAACACATGCAAACACAAGTGCCTTTCAGAATTGCTTTTCTGGAATGTGAATCAAGGTACTTTAGAAATTCCATCACTGAAAGTTATATTGGTATTTCTTCTGAACCCTCCTCTAGTCCTTGCTAATAAAGCCTTATTTCACTAATACGTTTCTAGCATAAAGCCTGCATAAAGCCTATTAACAAAAGACACAGGCTTCCACTAAAGACTTCTTCATACTGGTGAACTGAGGACTTCTGAGGAAATGGAAGGCTCTCACAGGTGCTGGAGGTACCAACAATTATTACACTGAAGCTATTCAATACTTACTTGGCAGACAGCACATCCTAAATGCCCGATCACTAAGGTTAGAATTACCAGGTGTCTTATCCTCTTTGTCCTCCACAAGGCTCTCCTACAAGGATGGGATTTGGGACCACTCAACTGTCTTGGTTAAGGACAAGTGGGATATTTGTGGGATAGTGAGGAAAAGTGGGATATTTGGTGAAGGATTAGAGTGGGCCAAGGATTTATCTCACAGCTACTTCTAAGGAAAGCACTAATCAGTATGGGTGTGAAGGAATGCAGAGAGAAAGACAAAAGGAAGCAAAATTTTATATTTTCAAACATTTATAATGCATCTAAAACATTCTGATGACATCAATATTCATTTTTATTCATCTAAATTGCAAGCAAATGTTTGAGGTGTAATATTGCCATTACTTACCTGTAAAAGGTCATCATACAACCTGTGATAGTCATGTTCATTGGGACCTGAGCTGACATTCTGCCAATCAAGATCATCTTTTCACCAGTGTCTGGATGAAAGGCGGAATCATAGATATATTTTGCTCTCCACAAATCATCTTCTGTCAAGCCAGGTGCCACGATACCTTGTCTTGGGACAAGTTAAAAAAACAACAGAAAAAAACATAACTGTTGGATCTAATAGATCCTTGATTTTTAAATGGATTGTTGAAATAAAAATGATCAAAACTTCTATTATGTGATTATGTTGGCTGAACTGATGCATCCAACACCAGATTCCTGTTTATTCAAAGCTGTATGAGAACTGCAGAGCTAAAATCTTTGCAAAGACATCAGCATTAAAACTTTGAAAATTTACTTTGCAAATATTTAAGAAATTACTTGCCTCAAACAGAGTAACATGTCAGAGCTTTCAACTCTGCTGTCACATTAATTATTTGCAAAATCAGTCACTTTTTCTACATGTCAGAGACTTAATAGTAGTGTAATAGTATTCTTAACGTGATGGTAGATGTTCTCACACAACACCACTTCCTCATTTATTAGAGAATATTCTAATGGGTACAGGTATATAACAGGAAGAAAGAGTGGTGCAATGAACACTGTGTCTTTCTTAAAACCAACATGGACTTATTTGGTCCAGCAGTAACAATAATCAACTGCCATACCTGTAATCATGAACAATTTTTCTTGCATTTTCTAGCTGGGCATCAGATAACAAAATATTCCGGGGATCTGTTACAGTAAAGAAGTGACTGGCGCGTCCAATGAAAGTGCTTTGATCCCATCGGGGCTCCTTAATATTAATATTTAACGGGATATCTGCTGACATCTTCAGAAACTGTAAGAAAAAAAAATGCGAATTTTCATTTTGGAATCCTTCTCATTTTAAAACACTCCTGTAACCTTTCAGTCTCTACACCTGCAAAATGAGGAGCAGTGAAAAAACAGCGAAGCCCAAGCACTGAACATCTTGCAGAACTGAGCTATAAACGAGCAAGTATTTACCCAGAAAGCAGATGATGTCAGTCAGCTTTTTTGTTTTGCTTCACCTCTAATGTTGCAGCACATGCCCAGGAACCTGTGTTTTTGATTATGGACTTTCAGAATAAGGAGATTTTTCTTCCATGTATCATGGACTAAAAGAAGATATTATTTTATCCAAAGAGACACCCTCAGTTCTGTGTTTTTAATAAACTTCTACAATAATATTTTAAAACAATACTGCTTTTATATGTTTTGCAGTCAGTGCTTTCAACCAAACAATATTCTGAACTGGGCTGAAAGTCCTAGGTTTGTTGTCCTTTCTCTGTTCAGATAGAATCATCTGCCACTCTGCACTCTAGTGTTTAATACTACCATTAACTCAGTGGGGAGGGAGCTTAAAAACAAGTGAGTGGCCTCTCCTAAAAATAATTATATAAGAAACAGCATAAAGTCTAATAAACAGTCTTGGTTCAAAGGCTGCATGTAGCTTTGCCCCAGAATCAGCAGCAGAAGACTTTAAACTTTGTTTAAAGGTTAACAACAGAACAACATTTGAAACAAATCTGCAAAATGCTGATTCAGGAGTAGTCRGGAATTCAACTCTCAGCTGCTCTTGTGCAAAGTTTGCATTTTTAAACATAAAACTGAACGCTATCACCACTGTTCAAATTGAAGCAATAGCTGCAAGTGTGGCAATGCTGTACTTCAGAGAGCAACAAAATATTCAGTTCTGAGCAACATAGATATTCGATAATTTATTTTAGCATGCATAAAAAGAAATGTGGTTGCAAACSAAAGATGAGGTTTTTAAAGATTAAACTGCACTTGCTACTAATGCTGCACTGAAAAGACCCACAAAGAAGGGACCTAGTTACTGCTGCGTGACCCAGTAATCCAGAGGACTGCACAATTATCTCCTTTGGGAAAATGTGGACACCCTGACCTCGCTCWGCAGTACAAAAATGATTAAAGCAGATTTTCTGCCTTCACTGCAACCATTTATATTTGTGTATGTGATTTGCACTCTGTGCAAAAGCCATTCCACAAATGGGAAACTTCATCCAGTATCAGTAATTTCTACAGATCATAAACTGAAACTGGAGGTAGAACAACAGAGAGATTTTTTGCTGATATAGCTGTGAATTCCATATCTGATCTAAATGCACATTTTCAAAGCTGTAATTATTGTTCAGAGTCAGAGAGCATCTCTAATGCCACAACATCCATTCACGAGAGAGAAAAACAGCTTTTGCCAGCACTCTGTGGAGTAGAGGGGCATTTCTGACAATGGTTAAAGGACAGAAACAACTTTTTAGTACTGGGGAGAGTGATACCATGAGCTCTCCATGAGAGAAACAGGCCTGAGAACCACCCTAGATATACTTTTCTTCTGAACACATACARAAGGCAGAATTCTCCTGCATGGGGATCCTTTGGTAAGCATCCTTAGATTGCTACCAGATAAAGTTAATAGCTGCTTTACTTCCTATAAAGAATTTTCTGCTACTTTTTGTTTTTACCCCAGCTGGAGCTCAGTTTACAACCTCTGGTGCCTTTGTCTGCAGAAACAGTCTTGGCTAGTGAAAGAACATCCTTTTACTGCTCCTGACTGTGATTTGGGAAAGTCAGCACAAACCAAGCTGAGGGAGTGGACGACACCAAGAAAAAAATATGTGATAAAGAAGTTGGTAACACCCCACCTCTTAGTGCCCGACTTCCAAAACGTAACCTGCAACCCTCTGTTACACAACACAGGGCACACTGGGAGTTTGAACCTACAATCAAAACAACCTTCCTGTAAGAGTAAAGTAGCTGGTAAACTAGCCTACAAAAATGCTGAAAAGGAAAGTTTCACTTATACTTTAGCCCTTACCAGAACTTAGACACCTAAGTCCAGGTGAATTAAAGGCACTTAGGCCAGAACACAATTCCCTAAATCTTCCAGAAGCAGACAAGTGGCCCCTTTTTGGAAAAGGAGACTGTAGTTACATTTCTCTTTTAAAACCCACTAAAAATAGAAGGTAACAACAGTACCTCTTTCTTATCACACTCCAGTAGGTTACAGGACAGTTCAAAAGTTATAACTACGTGCTGCTGAAAAAGTGTCATGTACAGAGTCATCAGGAGAGAAAAAAAAGCAGGTTTGACATATTTAGGCCCCCAGATCTCCATTCTTCAAAGCTGTGCCCTAACAGCCTGATGTCCAATAGTCAATGTCCTATTCCAGGACAAGAGATGTAGGCTGGAAAATCTTCAGGTTGAGGAAAATGCTGCTATAAAAGAGGAGAGGAGCATCTCTCTGCTTCTAACATAAAGTGAAACAACCAGGGCTACTTGGCTGTTGGTTTTTGCAGAGCTTAGTTCTTTTGAAGCATCTTCAACAGATAAATATTTAAGAATCTTGCTAGGCTTTTTATTCCTTAAATAAAGCATAGGTTTCCTGGGGAACTTCTCTGCCTAAAAAGCAAACAAACTTTGTTTTCCTTTCAGAAATTTGTTTTCCAGATTTTTCCTTTCTTGGAGAAATACCCACCACCCGCTTGTCCCGCTTGTAAAACATGACCTATTCTACTTCAAAACTACAACACATCAGCAAGGCAGCGGTGCAAAGTCAAACCCTGGGACTACCCATATTTCAACTGTTCTGCAAAGAACACAGCACGTTCTCCAGGTAGGTCAATCAAGCCAATATAATTATTTTAAATGAGAAGCACTAATGGATTTTTTAGGGGAATAAAGCATTTTCATARGATGACAAAACAACACCTCGCAGCCTTGTCAGGGTCATTAAGCAAGGGTATTCCTCTATTTGCTCTGTTTGCTTCCAAGAAGAAGCAAAGCTGATGACCGGGGGAGGTCTGAGGCAACATACCTGCACCAAACGCTATCAAAGCCACTTGCCAAGTTTCTCTTCCCCAGAGCAGCTACCACTGGCAAACAGGTATTTAAATCAAAAAAAAAAAATCCTTGCCTGCAATATGCTTTTTTTCTTCCTGTAGTAATAAAAAATAACTGAATGGTGGTTAAAGCAAATCACAGCAACGCTAAAAGATACTTTTTTTTTTTTTTGCTTACAAATGTAGGTCCTGTTTGTAGCCTAGCAACAAAAGCAGTAGTCTGTGTTAAATGGATAGCGCCTGCTGCAGGGCCCGTCTCCTCCAACAGCAGCCATCTTTGGAGTGTAACTTGAAGAGGGATTTCATCATTCGGCATTAAAGCTCCCTCCAGATGTTGGAGGTCGCAGCAGCCAGCTCAGCAGCGTGTGCTTTCAATCTGCCATCCGTTCCCTCACCGCCCTCATTTCCCCAGGGGTATCACACACACACACACACACACACACCCACCCCTATCCCGCATTACACGTTTACCTCTCTTTGGTAAATAAGATCTAGTTAAAAAAACAGTTTTTTTTTTTTTTTTCTCTGACAGGGGTTATTTCAAGCTCCTACTTCATTTCATTCCTGATCGCTTCTGACTTTTTTTCTGCTCCATGTTTTAAAACCCAAGGTCAACTTAATGAAGTTTATCTAGGTCTATCCGTACATGTTCCATACACTACTCTCCCGTAGCATTTCACTATGTAATATTTCTTTTCCTGCTAGGGTTCAAGCAGGAGATTTTTAAATCTGTATATTGGTATAAATCACTGCCCCTACCCTCTCCATGGCAGCATTATAATCACCCCCAATTCCTCACAGCTCAGTAAATAAATAGAAAGGCAGATGCAGATTCAGGCCCCTGGCCGGWGGGCAGCTGCCTGACCTCCGCGTTGCAGGGGCTGCTGCTCCCGGCGCAGAGCGGCTCCTCGCGCGGGCCCGGCCTCCGATCCGCCACCCTCCGAGACACGCTCGGTGTGGGGGTGGCTCTTGGTCCGGGATGCAGGTCCAGGAGGGGGGCCTGGGGATGCAGGGGAGGCAGGAGC